ATTATAATGTAACTCCTTAAAGTGATTTGCAGGGGTATATACATATTGTCATATCATTTAAGTAAACAAGGGCGCTGTATGATTTCTCACCTAAGACTATGGCATAAGAGACAATATCACATTCTGTCTATTGATATTTGTTTGTTCCTTCAGCCCTTAAAAGTGTCATAAGTATTTTAATAATGTGACTTTAACATCGGCCTAAATATAGGCTACAGTATGTTCAGTGAAGGGGGCTTGATAAGTCAGTTTCTCCTCACCTTATACTTTCATGAGATCTGAAATTCACCAACAATCGGTTTTGCTGTACTTTTGCTAAACATCTGAACTCGGTAGAGTGCACACTATTGGGAATCTGTGTTGCAGATTTGGCACATTTTTCTGAAGAAACCTTTAGAGTCTAGAAACTCATTGCAGCTAAAGACACAAGTCTCACCATGTATTTCAAATCTGAGAATGATGAAATGATTTAATTTTTTTTTTAGATGAGACTTTCTTTTTGGGCAAACCAAAGAAAATGTGAGGTATGAATTGAAACATAACAGGTGCTGTAAAGACAGAGAACTTTTACCTACAGCACAAATGTAACAATGGTGGATTTGCAAATAAAACAATTTAATTTGTTAAATATTGAAGTAATACTTCAGTAATTTATTTTAGTTGAATCCTCTGTTGACCTGTTATGATTAAATGTACAACAAAATACACTGTATTTGAGTTCTACTTGTTGAGTATAAAAATAGTATAGGTAAAAATAAATGTTTTGAGTTGCAATTAATTATAATCATAATTTATAATAATGCAATACTTTGTATCGTTATGAACTTTACCTTTTCAATAATTTAACCACACTTCAAATAGTGCTTTTCACAATTTTGCATGGTTGCAAAGCAGTTTTACATACATATGTGACCCTGGACCAAAAAAAAACATTAAAAAGTTTTTAAGTCGCTGGGGTATATTTGTAGCAATAGCCAAAAATACAATGTATAGGTCAAAATTATAGATGTTTCTTTTATGCCAAAAATCATTAGGATATTAAGTAAAGATCATGTTCCATGAAGATATTTTGTAAATTTCCTACCGTGAATAAAAAAAATGTGTGTGTATATATATATATATATAATTTATTTATTTATTTTTTTTAGTTTTTTCCCCGTGTTTAAATTAATCTCACAATGTCACTTCTTATCTTGCAGCTTTTATAAATCTTGTGACTTTTTCCATAATTGCAGATTATATATCATAATTGTGACTTGTATTTGCCACTTTATATCTCCCGGTTATACAATATCACAGTTGCGACTTTTTCCTTATAACTGCAACTTTAGGAATTTGACTTTTATTTTGAACTATTCCACAGTTAGCTCTTTTGTACTTGGAAGCAGAAATGGTCTTTGTAAAAATATCTTTAAAATCAAACATTAAAATCTTAAATTATTTTACAAAGCAAAATCACAAAATTGGCATCTTCCCAATTTGGCCTGCGACTATAAAGTTGCAGATGAATTTGCATCAAAATACTGAGTTAGATTGAATGCACAGCCTTTGACATCAACAACAAACGATACATCCTTTGCTCAAAATCGATACAAATGATTTTGTCCTTCTTACGAAGAGTTGATTCTTTCCCTGCTATCTGCAAATCACTGATAAAGGAATCTGGTACTTTTAAAAAGTATCGTATTGGAAATGTTCTGACATCATTTTTTTTTTCTCTCTTCTCAGGTGGACCCAAACCCTCAGCCTATCACCATGCGTCCTCGCTGCATGACCTGTTGAACTCTCTGCCAGCTGAGCATCACCTGATGTTTGAAACAAAAGCCGAGATTTGATTCTCCCGTATGCCTCTCTGAGACTGAGATTGGCACTTGTTCCTCGTTCGAGCCGTTTGCATCTGTGCTTCCTGCAGCGGGACCGAGAGAGGAGGAGATGTCTGGACTAGGCGAGGCAGAGCGCTTTCATCAAACAAAGAGGACATTCAGTACCGGGGCAAACAAAGGTTCTGCCCACGTTTGGTCACAAAGAGCGATCAGACTCTAGTTTGTGCCTAGAACGGTTGTACGTAGAATCAGGGAATTTTGGGCATGATCACTAGAGAATTATGGGTGAGAAGCCATTCTAGATGCTGCACATAGTGCTTTATTTTGCTGTGAACGAGGGCCTAGTCCCTCTTAAAACCAGCTAAGGTCTGCCACCTTAGATGCTAGCAGGCATGTGATGCCGTCCTCTCCCAAAACCATCATCATGTACGTCTCATTTAGTGTTGATGTTAGCCAAAGAGATCGGTTTAACGTTCATGTGAACTGGTAATTCTACACTGGCTAGGTTCTTAATTCCATCTACAACATGTTTGAAACTTGTTTAAAGTGATTTTCACACATACATACCCATATAAACTAACTGGACGGAACTATGAAAGAGGACGCCACTTCATAACCCCAATGACATGTCCATGCTCACTCAGCCCAACAACTAGTGTCGATAAGGGGTGAATGAAGCAACTCATCTTATGATCCTGTAGCTGTATGAAAGCCATATAATGTATGTCTGTGGGGATTGTTTGTATTGTATGTTGTCATATCATTTAAGTAAACAAGGCCGCTGTATGAGTTCTCACCTAAGACTATGGCACAAGAGACAATATCACATTCTGTGTATCGATATTTGTTTGTTCCTTCACCCCTTAAAAGTGTCAAGTATTTTAATAATGTGATTTTAACATCAACCTAAATATAGGCTACAGTATGTTCAGTGAAGGGGGCTTGATAAGTCAGTCTCTCTTCACCTTATACCTTCATGAGCTCTGAAATTGACCAACAATCGATTTTGCTATACTTTTGCTAAACATCTGAACTCGGTAGAGTGCACACTATTGGGAATCTGTGTTTCAGATTTGGCACATTTTTCAGAAGAAACCTTTAGAGTCTAGAAACTCATTGCAGCTAAAGACACAAGTCTCACCATGTATTTCAAATCTGAGAATGATGAAATGATTTAATTTTTTTTTTAGATGAGACTTTCTTTTTGGGCAAACCAAAGAAAATGTGAGGTATGAATTGAAACATAACAGGTGCTGTAAAGACAGAGAACTTTTACCTACAGCACAAATGTAACAATGGTGGATTTGCAAATAAAACAATTTAATTTGTTAAATATTGAAGTAATACTTCAGTCATTTATTTTAGTTGAATCCTCTCTTGACCTGTTATGATTAAATGTACAATACAATACACTGCATTTAAGTTCTACTTGTTAACTACAAAAATAGTATAGATAAAAAGTAATGTTTTGAGTTGCAAATAATTATAATTATAATTATAATTCATTATGATGCAATACTTTGTATAGTTATGAACTTTACCTTTTCAATAATTTGACCACACTTCAAATGGTGTTTTTCACAATTTTGCATGGTTGCAAAGCAGCCCCATATGTGACCCATGGACCAAAAAAAACAGTCTAGATTGTTTGTTATAAAGCAAATAGCCAATAAATAAATTTGCTTAAAAATCAGTATCAGTATCAGAATCCAATTTGATAGTTAAAAAAAAAAAAAAAAGAAAGAAAAGACAATCTGAATTCTGAATCAGCTATGATCGGCGCATCACTAATTAAAATACTAAATAAAAGGCCTCAAATTTGAAGTACAATCTGGGATGTCTTTTTCTATCAATTCTTCAATAGGTAGATCTTGTCTTTCATAAAGGCCGAGGTCAGGGATAAAAAGGTTGGTGACCACTGCTTTAAACACTTACATTTTTGCTCCGTCCATGCAATAAATGCGCAGCCTTCGACTGCTCAGGTAATGTCGTCGGTATGACCGAGAGCCATTGAAAAACTACAGAAACTACTTCACTTTAGCATTACTGGCCACGAGTACTCAGGAGAGATCACACATCAGCTGCTCAAAAAATGTGTCAGTGAGACGAACGGAGCACGAGCGCAATCCTGTGACAGTCACAGGCGGGAAATAGTGCTGCGCGTGAAGGAGAGATGCGAGGCATGAACACTGTTCAAGGTCTCCATTAATTTCTGCTTGTAGTAATTTAATGTGTATATATTTTGAAAGCATTGAAGTGCTATAGAAATTATTCAATTATGCAATTATTCGCGATTCATTAGATTCTTAGCGTTTTAAATCGATTACTGTCCGAAATCGACGATTCATGATTCAAAAATCATGTTTCAAGATCGATGCATATGTATCGTCAGGGTTTGTAATCGATGCATTGAGAAAACGAGTGAATCGTTACACCCCTAGTTTATTCCTTCCTCATGCACTGAAACATAAGCAGTACGTTCACATTCTTCCACCAACTAACGGAACTGTCTGTTTTAGTGAATGTACAAGAATAAAACTAATGTTATGCCGGTTTATCCAATTGTTTCCTGCAGCGTTAATGATGGATAATGTCAGGTAAAAGGGAAGCAAAACATGCAGATGATATTTAATGTTGTGTCCGCTGACTTTAACAGCTTCAAGTTAAACACATTTTAGTGTTCTCTACAGTGATTTCTGCTGCTGCGTTCGCTGCTTTCATTGCTGCTCTTCTCTGGCTGATCTGGAGAAAAAGAGCTGGTGAGAAAAACAGATTTTCTCCTTTCTAACAATTAAAAACAGTTCAGATCTCACTGTAAGATCTCATGTTCAGATTGTATGCATCATAGAAACATGGATTATGTGACTCTGAGAAACAGAAGATTATTCCTCACAGAGTTATCAAATCAAACAACAATCATTTCTATCATTCATTTTAAAGATTCTACCAAATCTTGCTTCTTTTGAAATCTGAGCATCGTTAGCATTGTTAAAATTTAGTGTTTTTCATGTGTGTCTTATCTTAAATATTCATATTTCATGAGGCACATTGTTTTCAGGTAATAAAAGAGGGACTGATGAATCGGTGGTGAGTTCAGTAATACCAGTGATTTAGATTTGATTTCTGTCTTTAAAGCTCAATAAAGTGTGAATCATGCAGTTTTAACTCTTTGTTTTCTGAAGGTCAAAAATGAGAATGAAGATAAAGGAGCGTATGAGAAGATCACCATGTCCACTCCTGCTGCTGCGAGAGACAATGTGAGTCAAACAAACCATTCAGTTCAATTCAGTTCTAAAATGTAATTTGCTAAAAGCTTCTTTATTATTTCACACATTACAGTGAGAGATATATCTGTTCTGTGCGTTAAACGTTTGCACTGATGTTTAGGAGCAGACAGATGATGTGACTTACTCTGAAGTCTCTTCTTCCAGTAAAAAGCCAGTAAAATCGCTCAAAGTGAGCAGATAGCAGCTCATTCCCTTGTTCCTCATCACTGTCTGCTGTTCGGTCCTATTCAGAGAAAAGCACAGCAGCTTCCCTCATCTATACACTGCTGAGATGTAGTTCTGAATCTGAATCTCAGATAAATGAAGCTTTATCAACATGTGGCTGCGGTTCAAACACTGACGGAGAAACTCTGTGCTGTTCTTTCAGGATCATGATGATTCAGTGACTTATGCTGCCATCAGATGAACAGAAAATGAGCCGCTGGGTGAACTTTACGCCTCTGTGAACAGGAACAAGAGCTGCACAAATAAACATTCATAATCCAGATCACTGCATGAGCTCCTCATATCAGCAGCAGACGGGACGTTTCCACCACTGCTGAGATTCATAATCAAAGTGATGTAATGAAAAAAAAAACCTACTTGCTTTCAGCTTTTGTATATTGGCTGTTTCTTGTAGAAAAAAATTGGTAACGCTTTAGATTACAACCAGGGGGTAACAACCAGATATGCAACCTGCAAAGAACTGCGTAAGTAAACTGAAGTTACAGTGTAACTTTTTTGGAATTATAGTGTACCTATTCAGTACCTCCGTGTAGGTATAGGGGAATAATATGCGACGTTTGGGGAATAAAGGGGTAACAACCTGTAAAATTACAGATCATTTATACTGTAAGTATTTTAAAATGAAGGGGTACCTATTCTAATATTAAGTGGTATGATATGTATGACCTAAACAACAATCTTATGTTTAGGAGTGATTTAGAAAGACGATATACTTTTCATAATTTTATATTGGTAGCCTATTTTATTACAGGCCTAGGTATTTTTTAACCATGGGGTATACATTATATTATTAAAGGATACATGATGGAGATTACTGAACAACAAAACTGAACATCTAGTGAAACGAGTTAATGAGTTTCTGTTATGATTTATAATTCACGAGTCTACTTACCTTATGAAAGCTTATTCGTCGATCTCAGCTGAGTCACACCAGCAACTTCCCAACACCACTATCACCAAATAACTTACAATGATACACCATCAAGGTTCAATGCAGCTTAAAGCAAGCTTAGCTCTTTCCAGCTGTTCACCGAAAAAAATACATGATACAACACTTGTATTTAATTGGATGTATACTGTGATGTTTTTATAGCAAAAAAAAAAGTAGAGAGTTTAATTTGGTCATCAAACAAATAAATTAAAACTACTGCAATATTTTTCTCTGTAATTACTGTGCAAATATATACCTGTTCTGTGTTTAAGTCCAACTTAAAAAGTGGTGCTTTGTTCCCCCCTTGTTCTGTGTAGTTACAGGGTAAATACAACATTTGCGGGTTGAAAATTAAAGTGGTGCTTGTTCGCTCCTTGTTCCATGTAGTTACAGGGTAAATACAACATTTGTAGGCTGTAAATTAAAGTGCTGCTTGTTCCTCCCTTGTTCCGTGTAGTTACAGGGTAAATACAACAGTTGCGGGCTGTAAATTAAAGTGGTGCTTGTTCCTCCCTTGATCCATGTAGTTACAGGGTAAATAAACCATTTGCGGGCTGTAAATTGAAGTGGTGCTTGTTCCTCCCTTGTTCCATGTAGTTACAGGGTAAATACAACAGTTGCGGGCTGTAAATTAAAGTGGTGATTGTTCGCTCCTTGTTCCGTGTAGTTACAGGGTAAATACAATATTAAACTAGTATGCTGGAAC